AGTCCTAATAATGCTAATAATTTAATTCTTTGAGATTGAAGGCCATAGAAGAAGGGATAGTATAACCATTAAACAAGGATGGGGTAATAGACCAGGGAGACTGTTGGACATCACAGGGACTCACAAGGCCATAGAAGAAGGGATAGTATAAGAACCATTAAACAAGGATAGGGTAATAGACTAGGGAGACTGTTGGACATCACAGGGACTCAAAACCCTAACATGGGGCTTCCTTCAAGTGGTCAAAGGCTTCTATCTCAGGTATCCATGAGAACACCCTTGGTTTCCATAGCATGGCACTATTTGAGAAAAATGGGGAATAAATCTCCCATGGAAGCTGGCAAGCCTATGAAACAGTAGAGGTCACTGATGTTAGGGAGTTGCAGTTACCAGAGACCATTTATTGACAAGATGAAGTCCAGGAATTCCATCCTGGAATGGCCAAACGAACACTTATCGACTGGCATATAACCCACATTGTCATAGGCAGCCTAGGACTTCTCAAACATGAGTGTTATGCCTGTTCCTTGGAAAATATCAGGATGTAGTCCAATTAGGCAGCCACATAATAACCTGGATGTTCCATAGGTCATCATTAATGGAGTGCTGGAAGGTGACCAAGCATTGGTTAGGCTGAACGGCATGACCAAACATTCAAACTGTCCATGTCAGGTACAGAAGCCAGTTTTCTGATCCTAGTTATGGATCATTTTATAGCAACACCATCTCCTTTCCCTCCCCCCACAAGTCTAGATTAGTGAATATCTGTGTAGTTCATACCCAACCGGCAGCTCTGCAATCAGAGGCCAAGGGGTAACAATTATGATATGGTAATCTTATTCAGTTCTTTATAGCCACACATAACCAAAAAGACCCATCCTTTTTCATAAAAACAAAACAAAATAGAGTGAGCCCAGCTGATGTCAGGGACTGCTTGGTGTTTTTCCAGGTTTTCCTAAATAGGGCCCCAATTCTACCTCTGCTTTACTTTAGTAAATATCACTGTATGAGATCCTTGCACAGGCAGTCATAGGGTCACTGGGGTAGTAGCAAATCTTTATTTAATTTCTCAAACATTCCCCATAAGCCCCAATACTTCTCAGGCAGTGAAGGATCTGAGAGCTCTTGGGAAATGGAAGTGAGGCTACAGAGCAGACTGCAGTAGAGAGGTTACTGCTGCAGTTTCTTTTACTAAGAGAGACTGAAAGCAAAGAGCCTGGCCATAATCTGATGGGAAATTCATGATCTTCTGGGACTACAAAATACAGGGGTTACGACAGGCAAGCCAGGCCATCTCCAAGATTACCGCAAAATGACAGCTGATTTGGCTACATTACAGAAGTCCCTGCTGTCCTCCATATAGGCTACTAACAGCAGGATTTCCTGAGCGAAATGTAAAAGGAGAGCCATCCACTGTTTCCATTAGGGTACTTTTGTTGTTGTTGTTGTTGGGACTGCTGTCCCTAACGTTTGGGCTGTGGCAAAATCTATAAAACTGCCTCTGGTCTCCGAACCAAAACCCACTGGGCTGGCAATGCTTGCTTGGACTGGGGAGCTCAAGCAGGAACTGCAACTGAGGTCATTATCTGGGAGTTCTTGGAGGGGTTCCAGATACAGCTTCAGTCATGCTGCCCAGATGGGGCACCCCCATCAGATCTCATCATCCTTATTTGACATCCCCCTTTTAGGCTCTACACAGTGTTCATGAAACTGTGCATCAATGTGGAAACACAAGCCAGCTCGTTCTTTAGTACTTCCCAGAGATCCAGTCAGAACTAGTGTAGGAGGTAGCTATTACTCCAATCCAGAGACAAAACCCAGAACTATGCAATATACATGGGAGATGATCTGAAGGACAGGCTGAGTTTTCGAAGAGCAGTCCCTGCAGCATCAGTTTTGTGGGAGGAATCTTCAAACAGTTTGGTTAACACATTCAAGAATGAAACCCAGCTGGCAATCCCTGGATAGTCCTGTTCAACCAGGGCAGTACCTCAGACCAAAGCTTCTCTAGTGAGTAGGCTGAGAACCAAGACTGAGAACCAATCCCACTTTCAGTATATCAGTAAGATACACTCTGGAACAAGTGCCATCACATCACGCAGGCGGCTGAATGGGGTACCTTGGATGGGACTTGGGGGAGAGGCCTCATTCTGGTTCTCTAATTGCAGGGTACCAATCCATATTGGGTACATCTCCAACATATACTTGTTTCTGTTAGCCCAGATAAGTGTAAGAAGGGACGGAGCACACTCTCAGGTGCTGAGGTACACAACTGGTCAGGAAGGAAAGTCCAAACTCAAGCCACAAGGTCAAAGAAAGACAAAAGGTCTGTGGTGCCCACTGCAGAATGAAAGTCAGGGTCAGGCCAGAAGTCATTATTCAGTCGAGGTCCTAGGCTCGGCAAAACTGTAGCTGAGGTGAGGCAAGGAGCCAGAATCTACAAGATAGTCCAGAAGAAAGGCATGGTAGGAAGTCAAACTAGCACATATCAGGAACCAGGATTGCCAGAGTAAGCAGTCTTCACATCACAGGCACATTGCTTCAGCTGAAGGCAGCAGTTTTATACCACCAGGCTAGGTCTTATCAGACCCTTCATTCTGCTGATCCCAGAAACCCTCACTGGATCCCTCCAGGTGGGGTGTGCTTCCTCAGCTGGCCACCTTTAGGAGGGAACCATGGTGTAGGGGAGATTGGCCCAGCAGCTTGCTCTTGAAGGCAGGCAGCTCAGCTGGCACACAGAGCTGCTGACCCAGCTTCTAGGTTTGAGTCTCCATGGCACCTTACATTTTCCCTGTTCTAAATGTAACACTCTGCTACCTCATCTTGGTTCAATAGCACTTATGCTATTCCTCGTTTACTGGCCATGCAGCCAAAGAAAAAGACACGTGAAGTCACTAGAACTCTGTCCTGGCACCAGAGTTTTTACAGCAAATTCATCCTACATTGGTTTGAGAAAGCTTACCTCTGAGAAAGCTTAGCGCTATCAGTACTCTATAGATAACTTCTGGCTGCTCTGGATTAAAATTAAAACTAACATGAAGAAGAAATAGTGCCTGCTCCTGTATCTAAGAACAGCTTCAACCTCCAAATATTATCCCTTATCTTTGACACATTATTCATTTGCAGCTGCTATCTATGGAGAGTTCTTGGCTCAAAGAATATAGCCATTAATATGCTTGGCTGAAAACTAACCTTAAGAAGAAAAGAAAATTCTGTATGAATAAGAAATATGGACTGTTGAGCTGATAGTGTGAAGGAACATACTCATCATTACAAGCTGAAATAATATGACTGCAGACCAGCCACTGGAAGTACACTTGGCTTTTCCAGTTGGGTATCTAAGCAAACTTTGGATGAGTCATCAAATCACCCCAAGTACAACGTCAAAAGCAGCAGAAAGGAGTCAGCCTTGACTCATAAGAGAACATAAGAAAACCATGTTGGATCAGGCCAGTGGCCCATCCAGACTACCACTCTGTGTCACTCAATTATCAAAACCCAGGTGCCATCAGAAGGTCCAGCAGCAAGGCCAAAACTCCAGAAGACCTCCCACTCTTGCTCCCCAAGAACCAAGAATACAGAGCATCACTGCCCCAGACATTCCACCTATACCTTGTGGCTAACAGCCACTGATGGACCTCTGTTCCATATGTTTATCCAGTCCCCTCTTGGAGCTGTCTATGCTTGTAGCCACCACCACTTCCTGTGGCAGTCAATTCCATGAGTTAATTACTCTTTGGGTGAAGAAGACATGTCCAACTCAGAGTTTCAAAACCTGTGGGTCCCAAACCAAAGGTGAGTCAAGAATCCTGTGAAAGTGGGTCCCAGGTTTCTGCAGTTTTATTGATTTGGGCATGCTCTGTTCTGGTTTTTTTAAGTGTATCATTGTACCAAATAAATTTCGACTTGTTACCATACCAAAAAGGTTGGGAACCATTGCTCTAGCTTACTCATCACTACCTCTCTAGTTTTATATGTGTGTGTGAAGTGCTGTCAAGTCGCTTTAGACTAATGGCAACTCTATGAATTAAAGTTCTCCAAACTGTCTATCATCAGCAGCCATTCTCAGGTCTTGCAAACTGTGGGCTGTGGCTTCCTTTATTGAGTCAACCCATCTCATGTTGGGTCTTCCTCTTTTCCCGCTGCCTTCAACTTTTTCTAGCATTATTGTCTTTTCCAGTGACTCTTGTCTTCTCATAAGGTGACCAAAGTACAATAGCCTCAGTTTAACCATTTTAGCTTCAGGCTTGATTTGGTCTAGGACCCACTTATTTGTTTTTTTGGTTGTCCATGGCATCCGTAGAACTCTCCTCCATCACCACAAATAGCTACTCTAGTTACAAGCCCAGAATGAAAAGTTAACATCCAAAAGAAATTTAGACCTTCCTATATATTTGCTTAAAGAAGAAACAATCCTCAGTCAAATGACAGTCAGAGGTAACTTCCCCGCCCCAAATCACCTGGGTCAAACTGCTTTAGTAATATGGAGGGGATCTCTCCTAATCACCTGGGTCAAACTGCTTTAGTAATAAACCATATTCCTTCACAAATGTTGCTAAAACTGGCACGTTAAAAACACTGGCTTGTATGACAAGACAATATACACTGGATGTGTTGAAAAGTGCTGAAGTGCTTAGAGACTGCCCTTCTGGTGAACCAGAGTACTGGCAGCAACATTGCCATGAGAGGAAATGTTTGCACAATGAATTAACTAGAGAGTGACATCTTTAGAATTCACAGCAAAGCTGCCTCAGATAAGAGAGACTAGAGGGGAGAAGACTATCTCTTCCGCTTAAGATGAAGAGAATGACAGGGTGGCTAACATTGTTGCTCTGTCACATGCATAACACTGTGGTTATAACTCTGATGAGTGGCAAGATTCAGGGGAGGGGGTCAAAACAACCAATGCGCTAATCAATAAAATTGAACACTGCAGTCTCGTATCCCGAGATCTATCACTAGGAAATTATCTATACCAATGAATCTTCTGCCCCTTTTACCTGTCCAGTGCAGTACTGGTAGGCATGCTCCTACCAAAGCCTCGCACAGGCATCTGAGAGAAATATGGAATGCAATGGAGATTGGCAGCAATGATGGCCAGTGAATCGGAAGGGTTCACAAAAAATCCATTTTGACCCAAGATCATATAGCGGTCCTGGAACAGAAAAGAAAGCACAGGGGTGGAGGCATAAATTAAGTAGAGGAGTTCAGCCACAACACCACTGTAAAAATATATCATTTCCATGTTGTGCTTTGTCTCCCCGTCAGTCCAGCAAAGGGAGACCATGATTGCTCCTTGGCTCCAGCCTGTCTCGTGGCACTAAGATACATGTACATGTATTTCCTGTAAAAATAATCTTTTCACTGATTAGACCCGACCCAGAGCTCATGGGGAATTATAACTGCCTGTCTCTCCCTCTCCCTGTCTTGACGGGTATTTTTTTTACTGGGGCTCAGTTTCACCGCTGTGCTAGACCAGACTAAAAAGACTAATGAATACTTAACAGAAGATCTGTTATTAATATATTTTAGTCAGAGCCCATGAAATAAGATTGAGACCTAACTCCTTACTTCCCCACTTAACAGCCAGGAATGAGGCTGTTCAGAGTTCCTTTTCTACCTGTTTTGAGTCCTGCACAGAAAGAGGAAAACCTGCCTGATACGTGGCATAATCATAAGGCACGATGTGACAGGTAATAATTACTCCTTCACTGTACTGTTTTGCAAAAGGAAGGTAAAGAAGCTAGTTTGGGGGGGCAATTTCCTTTAACCAACAATACTAAATTATGGTGGCATTATTGGGTTCCCTGCAATGAATCACAACCTAGAAAATTTCTACTGCTCACAAAAAGAATAAAGTGTACCCCCCAAAAAGTAACATCTTTACAAGCTCCTTGGTTTCCTGAATTAAAAAAATATATATTTGTGTAAAAGAGCTAGATTTTAGTCCAGTAGTACCTTAGAGACAAGCAAGAATTTTTGGGATATAAACTTTCAAGAGTCAGAGCTCAAACGCTTTAAAATCTTGTGCTACTAGACTCAAATCTAGCTCTTCTGCTGCATACCAACATGGCTACCCTTTGAAACTATATTTGTGCAAGCCCATAACCTTTATTTATTGGTTTTTTTCATTAAAAAAGGCATCTAGCACTCATAGTTACACAGAACTGTTCAAAACTTGCCTGTTTGAAACTTCCCGATGAAGAATGTAAGAAGAAGAAGCTTCCAGGGAACTGTTTTCCCCTGAAATGTTTATGTACCATTGCTCCTGTTATACAGCTTGTTACTCCCTTCCCCAAAACTCCAACTTGATAATAACAAAACAGATGCATATGTATCCATCATACATGGCAAATTACAGGTGGGATTCTATGTACACAGTGCTTTAATAAGTCAGTGCACAGTGAAGTGTTGTCTGGAAAATATTGTCCTACATGAAACAAGCCTCATTTACCCAGTACTGAGAGCTGGTTTGTAGTTTTAACTTGTAGTTTCAAAAGCTTTAAGTTTGCCTTCTAAAGTAAATGAAACAACATCATTTGAAACTTTAAATAACAGCAAATTCAATACTGGGTAATACTTGAAAAACTGGGCCTGTCATGAATAAAATATAGATTTTTCAAGGACACAAATGATAGCTTGACAATTCTTTCCTTCTGAACATAAATGAAAACTGGGCATTCTTTTAAAAGCCTCCCTCTGAATATCATGGCTAAACTAACAGAGAGATACTTTTAACCACCAGATCCACCCTTTCCCAAATACTTACTCCATCTGCATCAAAAGCCGCTCCAAATCTATACTCTCCTCCTTTCATTGCCTCCAGTAAAGAAGCTGCATATGTCAGGTTTGGGTCAGGATACTGGCCTCCAAAATCCTCCAGAGGAACACAGTCCACTGCAGAATTAGCAGGAGCTCCTAATTCATCACAAAGGATTCTTCGGACATAGGGGCCCATCACTGCAAAATAAATTTACCCTCCAGTTACAAGACAGTGCACACACTTTGTATCTTTATATTTGTATAACACACAAACATTTTATGATCACCACTAATGGCCAGGAAAAGTTCAGAACAAAGCATACATGCATCTTTTGAATGAGAGTAAGGTCTCTATTTGAAAAGGCTAGTACCAGAGGAATCTATGGATATGTCTACATAGTTTCACTAAATGGAGTCTCTCAGTCTTATTCAACATCAGTTCTTTCACAGAAGCCATTTGCTCCAGGCTGCAGAGAGGCACATAGTATAATCTTTGCTGAATATGCAGCACTGCATGTTTAGAAGTGTCTGTACATGGAAAGCTCTTGACATGCAGGCACTTTAATGTGACTGCACTCTGACCTGCCTTTTAACAACAACAAAAAATGTATTCAAACACATTTGTATCGATTCTCACTGAAAACAGACTGCAGACATTTTCTAATGATTGCCAGATGGGCTTTATTTTTAAGACACACCCCTTATTTTAAAATTGCCCGTACTTCTGGACATTACAGTCTTATAAATATTATTTATGCCCCTTGTGGCACAGGTGCCCTCCATCATGGTCAGATCAATGCAACCTTTCTACTGCCAGCCTGAAAAGTTATCCTCTATCAGATATTTAAGTTAAGTTTACTTCACTCATACAGTTTCTCTGACAAACTCATTAGGAGGCCTTTGGCCAAGCAAACCCTCAGCCCCTCACCCTATGGGAAATAGGTAGATAATCCTGATGACCTTACCTTAGATGTCTTATGTAAGACCTATTTAAACAATGTATGTGAAATGTTTTGAAGAAATGCTAAATATAATTATTGTGTACTGACCATGTAGCCATTGTTCCTGTATTTTATTTTATTTTATTTTATATTAGTGCAGATTCTGCCCCCTCAAAATACAGTCTCCTTACCTCCATTCATAGCATCAATCCTTATCTTAAGTTGGTCTGACTCTGTTAGTAAACTTCTAATCGCACTGAAGTCGAATACTGTCCGCAGCAGGTTGAGGTACACTTCCACAGAATCTATTATCTCAACTGAATAAATAAGGTCAAAGAAACAATGTCTAGTTAATCAGTGCCTTTTATCTCTGAATAGCTGAAAATCTATTGCACAAAACATCACATACTTGGGACCCAATATTGTCATATTGGCTCATGCCTGAGGCAAGTATCAGCCATCAAGTGCATTTTTATTAGGTATCATAAGCTGCCACTACTGCCCAGAAAGTCTGGAAATAAGCAAAAATGATGTTTCAGAAACTAAGGATAAGCAAGATTTCAGAGAAGTTTACTTGATAACTGTTGGACAAACAAGAGTATGGAGTTATACCCCAAAATGTTGAACATCACCTCCAGTCAACAAACTTGATACGTCATACTACACTAGTTGGAAATAGCAAAGAAAAACAGAAAACAACTGTGAGCTGAATAGCCCGCAAAAAATATACAAAAGGAGACTTCAATAAAGTGAAATGCATATATAGTCTGAAATGAATCTATTCCTATAATCCCTCATAGGAAAATACAGAAGCCAACAAGATCCATAATAGGAAAATACAGAGTCCAAAGTATAAATATACAAGATAAATATCCAAAACTTTTCCTAGGTAATTTTCAGTGTTTCAGACTTCTGATCCTTCCTCAGGAACAAAGAACATAGGGAGTCTCATTCCGTTTCCTTGTAGGATAATACTTCTAAAGGCTGTTTCTATGTAACAGGAACAAACCATGTCACATGTATGTCACATGTTTTGGTCCTGTTACATAGAAGCAGCCTTCAGAGGTGCTGACTAGAGTTTAGGAGACCTTGCCCAATGTTGAAGAAACAGAATAGTATTATCCTATAAGGAAATGGAATGAGACTCGCAGTGTTCTTTGTTCCTGAGGAAGGATCAGAAGTCTGAAACACTGAAAATTACCTAGGAAAAGTGTTGGATATTTATCTTGTATATTTATACTTTGGACTCTATATTTTCCTATTATGGATCTTGTTGGCTTCTGTATTTTCCTATGAGGGAATATATGAATAGATTCATTTCAGACTATATATGCATTTCACTTTATTGAAGTCTCCTTTTGTATATTTTTTGTGGGATATTCAGCTCACAGTTGTTTTCTGTTTTTCTTTGATACTACACTGGTTGCCAAACTCCCACCCTCCATACACCCGTGGTTGAAAGACCTGTGTTCTTGTCAATACATACATTACTTGAACATCATTACTAGCACCAGGGCTTTTTTGTAGAAAAAGCCCAGCAGGAACTCATTAGCATAACAGGCCACACCCAACAGCAGAAACTCATTAGCATATTAGGACACACCTCCTGACAGCACAGCTGAAAACATATTAGGCCACATCCCATGCCTTCCCTTGGCTTGCCCAGGCAAGCCAGCCTTTGGACAGGCCGGGGGAGGCATTTAAATGTCTCCCCAATCCTTCCAGCCCCCCTGCCCACGCGCCTCAAAGTCGCCGGGGGGGGGGTTTTGTTCTCCAGGCCTTCCCTCTGTAGCTACGCATGCAGAGGTTTTGGCTGTAGTGGGCGTGGCCAACTCTGAAGCCAGCTGGAACTCCGTTCCTGTGCGTTCCTGCCCCAAAATAGCCCTGACTAGCACCAAACAGATATGTATCAAGCTATTGGTACTGCCTATTTGTGAAAGTGCCCTGGATGGGCCAGGCTAGCCTGATCTAAAAAACTCGCCAGATCTCCAGAAACTAAGCAGGAATGGTTAGTACTTGGATGGGAGACTACCAAGGAAGTCCAGGATTGCTACACAGATGCAGGCAATGGCAAAAGGCCTCTGATTGTCCTTTCCTTGAAAACCCTAGGGGGCATCATGAGTCAGCTGCAACGTGATGGCACTTTCCACCACCATTTGGAAAAGTATGCACTACTTTATAGACACTCAAATGGAGATACAAATGGTGCAAAAGAATACAGTACCTCGGAAAGGCTTGAACTTGTTCTCTAGATCAAATTCTTGTCTTCCCAGCCGAGATAAGTCAATTCTCAAATCAGAACAAATGGCATATTCTTCTAGGGTTTTGCTGATCTGGTAGATTTTATCAGAAACAACATCTGGAGCTGGTCCTGAAAGACAAATCTTCAGTAAATACTCTATCTTTAGTAACTAAAGTATCCTAAAAAGAAAAACTGTTGGCAACATACATCTGGAGCATCCCTATAACCGGAGGTAACATACTTTAGAAGTGCTATAAAACACAATCAGCAACGCATTCAAAACCAGCCACAGAAGTCGCATTTTGTGACCTCTGACGTGCTTCCCAGTAAAATTCCTATAAACTCCACCATGCCAATTCTGGCTTCAAATGATCTGAAAAGACAAATTAAACCTGTTGGGGGTGGGGGAGATATCACCCTGAGCAATAGATTTTCTCCCTTGAGTATGGAGCTGAATTCTCTGCTTGAAGAAGAGAGAAGATGAAACGGAACTCTTTCAGTGCATTGAAAATGGGATAGAAGAGAGGTGGAATTACAAGTCACCATATACCTTTAGAATCATAGAGCCAGAAGCAGATACAACTCAATTCCATGAATCTTAGGACGAAAACAAATGTCCCACTACAGCAAGGGAGAACGATATACCTCTCTCATTTCAATGGGCTTAGAAGGCTGTAACTTTCCTTAGAATTGCACCATTACTGAAGCATATGCACATCCAAGCTCTGCTGAACCAGTTGGATGCTCCTTTTGATGAGACGGAAGCTGTACATCAAAACCCGGGACTACAGATTTTCACGCAATATTACTGCCCACAGCTACTGCAGGATTGAGGCTTAGGTTCCCGACCATTTCCTGCAAGACTTTCATCAAAACAGTACAATGTATGAAAATCTGGAAGACCTCCATGTAGGAAGAAAACGGGGCTTCATAATAGTAAGTTCCACAGGATATACAAGAGAAAAATACACTAACGTTTTATATCCGGCAACATTTTTTTTAAAAAGCAGCTGGCAACGTCCCAGGTCTTTGGAACAAAGAACACCTGTTGATTTCTCTGGGAAACAACCCAACAAAAGGAAGCTTAGAAAAAAAAGTCTCTCTTAAAATGCTTAAAAATATGCAAAGATGTCTTTTTGAAGCTTTTGATAGCCATAGAAAGTAGGCTATCGTAATCTAGTTGCTTTTGATTTCAATTTGTGGGATTTTTTTACACAAATCTGTTTGCAATGATATAGTGTGTCATTAAAAACTTACCTCCATTGGCAACATTAAACTTAACTCCAAATTCTCCTCCAGGTCCTCCAGGACTGTGACTAGCTGTCAGAATAATCCCACCAGCTGCTTTGATCTTTCGGATAACGCATGACACTGCAGGAGTGGACAAGATGCCATTCTGACCAATAACCAATCTTCCAATCTAGACAAATCAGACAAAGGTGGTGACTCAGATCATATTTGATTAATGCAATTTAGTGACCTTAATAAACAATCAAACTGGGAAAATGTTATAAAAAGAGTTTGATTCTCAACATAACTATACGGCTTGAAACCTAAGACCAACTAGTTGTTAAAACTATTTAATACAGAATATAGAGAAGATGTGCTTGAAGTGGTCAACAGCTTAAAATGCATCCATCCACAACAAAGACGGGAGACCTACCCGTAGAAAGGGACAGTACGCATGCACAGCCAATACATATTTATTCACAAAAATTGTACTCCAACCTTCTGCCCTCATCAGGGCCACCAAGGCAGTGAATGGATTAGAAACATGATAAAAACAAATCTTAAAAACTATTAAAACCAAACAAAAAATCATTAAAACAATTTAAGCCAAAGCTAAAATACACACACAACCCCCCCCCCATAAAAACAACAATTAAACATTGGGCAGGTAGAAGGTATCACTTTGGGTTTGGTTGAGTTTTTTTTATATTTTTCATATGTGTGTGTGCACCTGGAAGGCATCACTGAGGAAATGTCAGATGAAAAAAACAGTCTTCATCTGCTAACAGAAGATGGCAATAGATTAGTGTCCTGTCCCTGGGGAGAGAGTTCTGGAGTCTTGGTGCCACGACTGAGAAGGCCCTCTCCCATGTTGCCACTCCCCTAATCTCAGAAGGGCATTTGAAGTAGGGGCTCAGAAGATGACTATGCTGGTTCAGTAAGGTTTGTAAGGGCGTAGACCGGCCTTCAGGTATGCTGATCCCAAGCCATATAGAGCTTTAAAGGTCAACACATGCAGTTAGAATTGTGCCCGGGAAGAGACTGGGAACCATATGTACATATGCACCTAGATTTGCGTCAAGGTCACCTGCTTATTTGGAAGGCAATGAACTTGCAGGATGCATCTGTTGATGTTGGAGATTAGACATGTATCAGAACCTCTGAGCTAAAATCTCATATATTATCAAAAGGGCCACAAATCTAAAACTGTTTCTTAAGGGAAACCCTACCAAAAATATTGGCTAATACCCTACCAAAAATAAAATTAATAAAAATACAATCAGAATAATTTCTGTAATTATTTAAAAAGACAGACCTTTCAGAAAAAACTTTCATTGTTGATGCAGCTCTTCGTAAGATATATAAAATCTTGGTACAATTAAAACCTTGATATACCCTAGAGTTGGATTTGACTAGATTTCGAGCAAGAGAAACCTTTACCTTTACTATATGTAAGAAAAATTTGCTGTCAGCTACCCTTGTCACTGAAATAACTCTAACTAAAACTAGTATGAAAGAACTGATCCTATGCAACCAGCTATGTTGGTGCGACAATTAAGCCCATCACATTTTCAGATTTATAAAGGCACCTTAAGTACAAGCACAGGTAGTACCCAGCAGAAATCAGCAAATCCCCATGAAGATGCAAGAATCTAAAACATGTGGATTCAACTGTAAGTTTAGATCTTTAATTGGCAGGAGAGAGAAAACAGACAGCAACTGCCTTTCACTGTGGCCTTTCAGCTGGATCAAAGAGATGACAGATCGCTATGACCTGTAGCTGCCTCGAGTCAGATTTCTGTGTTAAAAATAAAAGCCAGGAGTACAGTGCATTTCAGAACACTTGGCCTGCAAGGGGTGCACTTGCCAAAAGTAGTGTGAATGGAGGCTGAGAAGGGTTCAAAATAGGAAGTCCCTCCCCATTTTTATAACATGACAACATTTCAGGATGCTGTTGCTTAATATTGACTTGACGTATGTATCATTAACGAAAGCCATATTTTCACAACTACTTGTCAGGCCTTTAGTGTACTATTCACTTTCTATATGCAAACTTAAAAGACAGCAAGTCATAAATTTAAATGTTTACACCCTCAGAAAATTCTTAGGGAACATTTCTGAAGAATGGGACATATTCCTACGGAATGCTAAAGAATCCTTATAAAGTCTATTTTCCTCCTTCAAATGCCAAGAGATCATAGGGGAAAAGTTATTTCCAGCTATCTTTTTCTTCTGGAAGAGATCCAAAAAGATATCCCTGGGATTCCTCTTATCACTGGCTGGTATGCACTGAAGACTTTGGAAACACAACAGTAATTCTGCAGAAGGAACAAGCAGGCTTGCTATGGTCTCAGTTTTTGTACTGATAAGCCACAGCATCATTTAAAAGCAAACAAGAGAGGTAAGGGCAAAACATTGCAGGAAGGGACAAAATCGGAAACGAGGGGAGGAAAGATAAGTGGGGGTAACAATCACTTTTTTAAAAAGTGAAGAGCAAAAAAAGAAAAAGAACACAAATCTGATGAAGTGAACTAGGTAATGTGGAAGGCCTTTGAGCATAAGACAGTTCACTCAAAAAACAACCAGAACTTGGACCGTGAAGGGGGGGGGGGTAGTTTGAAAGAAGGATTACCAACAGCCTGGAGGAAAAGTGGCATGTCCCTCTAACAGAGGCTTAATGAAATGACATTTACTAGGTGATGTTATATACCTCAATGCCATGAGGTTATATATCTCAGTTCCCCTGCCCATTCCTTCCAGGGTGTTGGCAACCCTCTTTGAAACGTACAGAGTTTAAATAGCGAACGATGCATAAGATTTGGTAGACAATTGAATTTGAGGAGTAGAAGATTTACAGTTTAATGTTGGTTTAAAACTGTCGCTAAATTGGAACTCTAATTAGTATTTATGATGATTAAGGTTCTTGCTGATAAAGCCCTAAATTGTAGAAACTTAACACAGGCATAAAGGGGAAAGAGAAGAAAGCATGTGATTCTGTGGTTTGGTCTCAACTATTTTATCACAGTTACTAGACTTTAGCTGACAGAGAAGGAGAGGTAAGTAAGAGTCTAGCAGTAACATAGAATAGAAGAATAGATTGGATTTATCCCCTACCCTTCACTCAGAGTCTCAGAGCGGCTTACAAACTCCTTTCCCTTCCCCTCCCCACAACAGACACCCTATGAGGTAGGTGGGGCTGAGAAAGCTCTTTCCAGAACTGTCCTTGAGAGAACAGTTCTGAAAGAACTACAGCTTGCCCAAGGTCATCCAGCAGCTGTAAGTGGAGGAATGGGGAATCAAACCCGGTTCTCCCAAATGAGAGTCCACACACTTAACCACTACACATCCCATTGACTTCACTGGATTTAGAACAGTATAACTGCTTGCTGTGATGGGGGTGATTCTGAATTGGATTTTCCCTCCATTGTTTTAGCAAACCCACATTGGAACAAAAATTCCCCTCTGCGTTGCATGCTACTTTCATTTCCTTGGATCATCAGATTTTATGGTACTCTCTGCATTGCATGCCTCCTTCACTTGCTTTGATCATCAGGTTCTATGGTACCTCCTGCAAAGATTTATGGCTGTTTTATGACCATCATGGGTGACTTTGCAGTCAGTATGGCATTGGCCCAGGTATCTGAATGTGATTTTGAGCTGCATCTTTTCCTCAGTTCAGAAAATGTAGAGAGTGAATGCCAGATGCAAAACCAGACAGGGATAGCCCAGGCTAGCCTGATTTCATCAGATCTTGGAAGGTAAGCAGGGTCCTTCCTAGTAAGTATTTAGATGGGAGATCACCAAGGAACACCAGGGTCGCTATGCAGGCAATAAAAAGCCATCTCTGAATGTCTCTTGCCTCAAAAACCCTAAGGGGCCACCATATGTTGGCTGTGACTTGACAACAAAACAAAAAAACCCCAAACAAATCTCAGTTTGGGATGGCATTGTGAAGCCCATAAAAGGCTGCTTAAATAGGGAACAGAGGAAACAATGAAGAAATATAATGGACAGAATTAGAGGTGGCTAACCAAGCATAACAGAAGAGGCCCTTGTCCCTAGGCTGAGAAACTCTGCGTGGATTATTGCAGACCTGGTTTTAGTCCACCCTTGTCTCTTGGTTTTTCCCTGCGGTTTGTAGTCTCCCCGCATAAGCCCAAATGATACCGCTCAGACTTGCCAACCGCTAAACTCATATAAAAGTCCTATCAAGCCCTATGTAACAGCATAAACAGCTGTTTATCAGGCAAAGAAAGACTAAGCATAAGAACAGATCATTCACTGGCTTTTTATTTCCATCCAACTAATTTTGACATTCAGTTTACCTTTGATTATGTAAAGGTGATTGTGTACACACATCCAAAACTGAAGCAAGATAACATGGTGTTACATCAGGATTAAAAAAAACCCAAGTAAACAGCTTTAAAATATGGTTCAGAGCAATGCCACTTCCAGTTCCAGAGACCTGATGTTTGATAAATTAATTTTGTTGCCTGATAAGAGGACAGAGATAAACACATATACCAATATACCAACCACCCTGCAACTTGGAAATTAAAAAAACTTGGAGCAAATAATCATCTTCAGTTTTAAGAGTCTTTAATGATATATTTATCATGTCTTCACGCTTCCAACAAACTGTATCTGATAAAACAATTAAAATTATACTCAGAATTGGTTTGCAGTGATTTTTATCCTTTTATGGTGTCTTTTTTTGTCTGTGAAGTAGCTTTTTGAAATCATGCCACTTGCCTCTAGACTATTATAATCTTGTCTTCACGCAGTGCTTGCTGCCAAATTGTACTAAAAGGGTGGTGAAAATACACGGAATTTCTTCACTGATTGCCATAGGTTGGTTAGTCTAATTGTTTACGTGTACATATTTCTTATGGCAAAACAATTTCTTGTGGTAGAAACACATCACATATTTACAGTGTTTTCGCCTCCTTCCTTTAAAATCATATTATAAAAATATTTAGAAAGACTGCCCTCCCCAGCAACAAATTTTGGCAATAGCATTTAAACAACATTCCATGTGTTTCAGCAAAAGGGCAACTGAATTAACTTTTAACAGCAAATACAAATAACAAGATGGTATCATTATATTTACAACTGACAGAAAGGAAAATAGTTTATAAGCTTGTTGGAGATCAGTGGCTAAAGAATTTGTGTGTAAGGACTTAACCAAGA